TATAATGGATCATGAGGTAAAGGCCTCATGGGGGGGAGGACAGAGTGCCAAGCTTCTGTCAGCTCATCTTGTACATCTATTCCCAAGTCCACATCCAATGATGACACACTAGTAGCTGGAAATCAACTGCAGTAGTGGTATTTACACTACAAGTCAGGCATTATTTTTTTCAGGGCTGATTTACTAACAATCACTGGAAAATGGGTGCCTGGGGAGTCCGTGAAGCCATCCAGCTAGCCCAGTCTTAAATACCTCAAGATTTCTTTTACATAAAAGAAAAGCAAACCTCCCATGTTACTTAAGCCACTATTTTTTCTAGTTCTGTCGCTCTTGCAGCCCAGTCTACTCCCAATGAGCATATCTAACCCCAAGAATTAGGCCATAAAGTCAAAGATTAAATGACACTTGGCAAAACAAAGGTTGAATGGTGAGGAGGGAGCTTGTGACTGGCATTTAGGTAGGAATGCCTTGGGCCACAGTGAAAGTGTGAGCCAGGAGCAGGACAAATAACATCCCCCTAGGAACTTGGGAGGGGAGGAGGGCCACTTCCAAAAACATGAAAGAAAGAGACATTAGATATGAAAATTGGAATCTTATTCTGGGGTGTTTCTTTATTTTTTTATTTTTTTGTTTTTCTTTTTTATTCATTTTTGTTGTGCTGTGTTCTGAGTATTCTGTTAGTAGGTAGATGTCACACATTTTGTATCCAGACAGGAGACAAAAACAAAGAAAAACCATAATGGTCCTCCTCCATCCGGGCATTCTACACCCCCTGGGCAGCCAAGTCTACCATAATGCTGTGCTCACTGACCACAGGCAGAAGGAAACTGGCCTGACACGGTGGGGGGAGAGGACAGAAGGATGACTGCGCTGCCGTCTGGTTAAGGAAGACTCGGGAGGGGGAGGGGATGCTGACAAGACAAGATTATTTACAAGATTTGGTTCAAAGCCCCGAGCTCCTCCTCTCACCCTGGTCCTCTCCCAGCGATCCTCCCATCTTATCAGTTTGGTAGAGGCCCCAAATCACAGAAGCTTAACCAAGATAGAAGTTGATTTCTCTCTCATGCAACAATCCCAATGGACGTAGTCCAGGAATAATGTGAAGGCTGTGCTGGATGGGGTCATTGGGGGACCCAGGCTCTTTTACCGTGTGGCCTTGCCTTCCTCAGGATATGACATGATCCAGATGATGCACCAACTTGTCCTGTTTCAGCCTGAAGAAAGTGGCAATGATGGAGAAAGGCCCATTGCCTTCATTTGAAGGTACAACCCAGAAGTTACATGGTTTCCATGCACATCCCATTGACCAGAACTTGGCCATGTGACCTGACAACGCCCTCATGGTTTATTACCTGCTTGCATCTCTAGCCTCATCTTGCTTCACCTTGCCGCTGTCCAGCATCAGCAACTTTAGTCAGAATTGGCTAACTGCTGTAATAAACATCTCCAAAATGTCAGCGGCTGGCCCCAGTAAAAGTTATAGCTCATGTTGTAGTCCAGTGCAGGTCACTGGGGGATTCTGCTCCATGCAGTCATTCAGGGACCCATCCTCCTTTTAGCCTGTATGGCTGCCCTCCTCTGGGTCACATGACCACACGTAATATGAGAGACTTAATCTAGCAGAGTTCCAGGAAACAAGAAGAAATGAGTTTAGTAAACAGCCATCCTCCCTCACTCTTTTGTGCTTGCCCCATTCTCTCCTGCTGCCGATCATTTGCACATGCTGTTCCCTCTGCCTGGAATGCTTTACTCTTCCTCTCTTCACCCAGTTAATTCCTACTCATTTAAAAATCCCAACTCGACATCACCTGCCTGGGTTTCACCCTGCAGTTGAACACCACCACCAAATCCCTCCTTCACAATAGTTGTCCAAAGTTGCCATTTTATAAGTGTTTGGCTGATATTTTGAAAATCTCTGTCTCCCCAATAAATTCTGAGACCCAAAGGGCAGGAACTGTATCTCCATTTGCTCAAGACTTTATCCTCTGAGCCTACAGCAGAGACAGCCCACGGAGGGCACTCAGTATGCATTGAATGAATAAATGAATGGAAGAAAGAAAAATACTTTTGGAGCCCTGGAAACTCCGGGGCACAGAGTAAAACACTAACTTATCTCTTTTCTGTCCTCATGGGGTGAGGCAAGACCCCAAGGGTTTTGGTGGAGATGAATATACAAGAAACCGGATGAATAAGGAATTTCTAGTTATAACCTCTGGATGCAACTTCCAAGTATGCTGTGATTTACTGTTACAGAGGCATGAGATTCCTAGGCTACTTTAACAACATCTGGTTCGTTCATTCACATAACAGATGTTCACTGAGCACCTTCTATGGTGCAGGCTCCGTACTAGATGCTAGGGACACAGACACGAGCAAGACAGACGTGTCTCTGCCCGCACCTAGTTTACAGACTGATCTCCAAAATCCAGCCATTTTTGCCCAAGTTCTCAGTCCTCCTCCTTCCCACCCCTTCCCAATCTCTTTTTACTTTCAAATCACCCAAACTCCCTTCCTCAAGTTCTCAAAAGCTCTCATGCACACACAGCTTCATGAGTTAGTTTTCTCTAATTTCCAGTGTTTATGGAAGACGTAATTGTAAATGCCAACATGGGAAAGAGGATTGGGGGATATATGACAATCAAGGATTAAATAATCGCTGAAACCATTCATTCATTCAACATGGCACCTGGTCTGTACAGAGCCCTGTGCTAGGCAGTCCTGGGGACCCAGAGGTGACCATGACAGTCACAGCCCTGCCTTTTCCAGGCTTACAGACCATCCCCAGATAGTGACAGCCCAGAGTAGTCAGGACTCGGATGTAGGAACCAGAGGGGTAGATCCAGCCAGGAGGTCCAGGAAGGCTCCCTGGGAGAGGGGTCAGCAGTTCCAGAGAACACATTAAAATAATTAACAAGAGCAGCCATTTCTTTGGAAGGTGATATCTGCCAGACATAGCACTAAAGGGCTTTAATGTGTCATTTCTGTTTATTTCTTTAAACCCTGGAAAAGTAAATGCTATTATTAGCTCCATTTTATAGATAAGGAAACTGGATCATCGTCACCTGGCTGTGAATTTTACAGCCCCAGGCTCTGCCTCTGTAGAGCTTAAAGCCCAGTGTGTGACACGGATCCATGCCTAGAGAGTGACAACTCAGAGTGGGCAGGGCTGGGGCAGGGAGCCTAGGGTTCTCAGACACACCAGCAAAGGGATTACCCAGCCTGGGGGGTCCGGGAAAGCTTCCTGGAGGAGGGGACAGTTCAGCCAGGACCTGAAGTGTGAGTAACCATCAACCAGGTAAAGAACAGAGGAAAAGCATTCTGGCCTGAAGACAAGCACACGTGGTTTGTTTAGAGGGACCCCAAGGGTTTCAGTCTGAGGTCAGAGCTCTTGTCAGGGTCCAGGATACGCAGGAGCTGGCAGCCCGGGTCTAGAGTCTGGCCTTTGTCCTCAGACAGCCAACGTTGCACGGAGGGCGTGTCTGCCATTAGCCAGCAGTGGACAGCAGCAGGTTGGGGAGGGCAGCTTTCATTTCCTCCCTTGGGCCCCGAGAGGATTGCGGGATGTGAACGGGGACAAAGAGGGAACAACCACCATGAGGCCCACAACTCCCTGCGCAGGGCTGGGGGCCGCGGCTGTGGCAGATGAGAAAGAGGAAATGCCTGCGCAGAGAGCCAGCCTGCTCTCCGGGAAGCTCCGGCGGTTTTTTTCCCAGCTTTTCCCTGCCTAGCCTCAGGCGAAAACTCTGCCCCGGCTAACCACCACCCCTCCTCTGTCCAGCCCCACAATAGCACCACAAAGGGGGCAGCAGCGGGGTGTCGCTGCTGTTTCCCACCAGAAGAACAGGAGCTATGGCTGCAGTGAGGTCCTCACCCAGCATAAAACTCTCCATGGCTCCCTGCTGCCCGTGGCAGCGGTTCCTCATCAGGGGTGCCCGGAAGGCAATACAGGGTGGTCTCACAAGCCCCAGGACACCCAGAACAGCTGCTGCCATTTGGTGGGCAGCTAAATAAATAATTTTTTAACCATGTAACTTACTTTCAAATGACTTATTTCACTAGCACCACATGTTTTTATGACCCCCTAGTTTATGGATAAGAAAAAGAAGCAGGAGAATGACACAGTTGTTCAGGACCACTAGCTACAGGTCGGTGAAAGGGGAATTTGAACCAAGAGAGTCAAACTCAAGAACCGCCGCCCCACCCTTCCTAGCCGCTTCTCTCCTTCCCCCCCTTCCCCTTCCTCCCCTCCTCTCCTTTCCTCCCCTTTCTCTTCTTCCTCTGCTCTTTCTGCCTCCCTCCCACACCTTTCCCTCCCCACCCTCAGCCTCCAGATCCCTACATCAAACTCTTTGGGACAAAGCTTCGCATATGAAATTTTAAAAGCTTCAGTTCACTACCATGAGCACCCCTGGGTAGGAAACACCGCCATGCTCCTACTGGGCTGGCTGGCAAGAGTGCTGGGTGACAATTTGGCAACATTCTCCAGACCCACAGTGGACGTGCCTCTGACGCAGCAAAACAGCTTATAGGAACAAAGGTGTGTGTGGTACCATCACGCCCGTGGGAAATGACGTGGACGCAGCACACTCTGCAGGTGCCAAGGGTTGGAAGCCCCCAAAAGGCCCATCCTCTGGGGACAGCCTCAGAATCTGTGATGTGTTCGTGTAGTGCAATGCTACCCAGCTGTGAATGAATGAATGAATGAATGAATGAATGAATAAGTGAATGAAGCAGCTTGCTGTGTCCTTGTATGGAAAGACCACCAAGATGTGTTGCTAAGAAAACACAGAAAGAGGCAGAATAATGCTACTGTTTATTTTTTCGAGGTGAGAGGGAAGACTACGGAAATATATTCATATTCGCTTCTTTATACAAGCTTCTCGGTGATTCTTTTGGATCCAGAAGATGGAAAACCATGGCATTATGGGGATGAACTCCAAGGAACTGTAACAGGGCCACCAGAGATACCCATTCACTTCTTTTCTCTTTCAATAGATATTTCAATACGTGAATGAAGAAAAACATCCAGAACTGGTGCCAACACTTGAGGAATGTAGAGTTTTGACAGGGAGACACATAGAAGCAAGCGGCTCTGTCCAGAACCAAGCTTGCTTTTCCTTCCAGACCTGCTGCTCCTGCCGTGGTCCTTACTCCAGCCCAAGGTAACCCCCCTCCCCTCGGGCCAGAACCTTGGGGCCGGGTGTGTTCCCACATCCTCTTCTCCAGGGACTGGTAGCCCAAGAAGCAGCCCCATCTGTTGCTGGTGTCAGAGAAGCTGCGGGCATCTCCCTCGGTCCTTGCCCCGTCGCCGCCACAAAGAATTGAAGGGCAGAGACACAGTAGAGAGGCAGAGTGAAAGTTTTATTTGAAGTTACTTACTTAAAACAGAATAAAAAATAAAATTACTTAAAGAGAGAAAGTGTGGGCCATCTCAGGGAGACGAGGTGCCCTGAAAGGTTTAAGGTTTATTTAAAGAGAGAAAGCGCACACTTGGAGAAAGGAGAGTGTGAGCCACCTCACAGAAGAGGTGCTGAAAGATTGGGGAAGTTTTATTAAAGTTACACCCTTAGAAAGTGCGGGCAACCTCAGAGAGAGGAGCGCGCCTAAGGGTTTAGGGTCTGGGGTTTTATAGGGAGTTGAAGATTTTCAGGAAAGTGCAAAGGGCCGGGTGTGGACCTGCCAAATAGTCCCAGAACGTTCACCTTTGATACAACATTGTTTTTTCTTTTAACTTAATACAAGAAATTTTCTGCTTTGGTTCCTTTCTAGAATATCAGTTTCTTTCTGGAAGCATATCCATCAAGACTCTGCCCTGCCTCCAAGTGGGCTGAGCCACCAGCCATTTGATTAAAATGCAGTCTTTGCTTTAAGATAGAATTCATCCTGAATAAACTGGGCTTTTGAGCAGCTAAAGTAAGTCCTACAAATAGAATGCTTAATTGACACAATGAAAACATAGGCTATGCTGAGATACTTTTCTTTATCTGGGGAGTATTCAGCTCCCTGGAATGCAAACATTCCAGGCCAAGCTGCTCCTGGCCTTCTGAGCTTTCTATTTTTAACTGGTTAACTCTTTGAGTCCCTTCTAGCGGGCTTTCTGGCCCTATTCCCTTTCCACCCTTCTCATGTCTGTTTTCGTGCCTAACATGCGGACCAAAGGACAGTGGGTGAACCAGGCCACAGTGTTAAAACCTCTGCTCAGAACCTCACACCCACTGTCTGCTCTAAATGCAAGTCAGTCGGTGAGACCTTGATCATGGGCGGACACCTCCTGCAAGAAACCCCAGGGCCGTGAGGGTTTTGCTTTCTGCCTTGGGAAGAAGAGGCACGTGAGGGAAGCTGGTGGGAGTATAGTTGAAAATTGGGTACCACAAAGGAGGGATTCTGAATAACACTTCCTTGTCTCCTTATGCCGTCTTGTTTTTCCTCATAGCTTTTACCCTCCCCTGGGACAGAACCTGTCTATGTTCTGTCATCTTTCTCTCCCCAACTCCCTCCCAGCCTGGGAGTCCCAGGAGGGCAAGAACTCTTGTCTCTTGCTCACTGCTGTCTCTCTTTAGCACACAGGGCCCAGCACACAGGAGGTGCTCAATAAAGATATATTTGATTGAATGAATACAAGGATCAAGGAGCAGTGGTAGGGGAGCCCAGGGAGCTGTGGAAACCAAGGAGGGGCCCAGACCACCCACCCCTCCGGGCTCAAAGGTGGGGAGGGTTCCTGGGAGGGGCCGTCAGGGGAGCCAGATGACTCCCTGGCTCAACCCACCCATTTCCATTGGCACCAGTCTCCCTCCGCCTCATCCTCACCCGGCCTCACCCACACCTGCAACAAGACACTTTATAACTCGGCAATTTTGACTGCACGGACCTTTCAGGCTTCCCAAGTATTTAGTGACCCAACTTTTCTCTTTTTTGGCCCAGGAATACCACCTCCCGCAGGCCCTCTCCTTTCCACTGATGCGCCCCCACGTCCTGGCCCCACTCCTAAGGCCCTCCCTTTTCGTGACCCCCCTTTCTGACCCCTTCCCTAACCTTCACCGATCTCTGACCCTTGGCCCTGCCTTTCCCCCACTTCGCGCTTCAGTGCCTGAAAGCCTGTATCATTCTCACTGTATGGAATTGTTCAGACCCAAGGCTCTAATGGTTTCTTTTCAGAGGACTGTTCCTGTCCCCTCGGATGCCCAAGGGGAAGAGGCAGAGCTTGGGGTGAGGTGAGCCTCAGTCTGAAGCCCAAACATGGTGGGCGCAGCCTCTGACCATCCAGAGCCCTGAGAGGAGGCTGCTGGAACCACAGCAGCCAATGACCCTTGAGAAAAGGGGGGACCCTGCAGGTGACAGCACAGTCCAGAGGAGGAACACAGCAGTAGCCGCAGGTTCCCAATCTGGAGATAACTCGGCAGTCCAGAAAAAGTGTGCCAGAAAATCCAGAGATTTCCCAGAGACCAGCCTCCACACTTCCATTCAGAAATGAGCCTACACACGTCCAGGGTGAGAGACGCCAAGCATCAGAGTCACCTACCCGCCCACAGCCGCGTGCCGTGAGTAGGCATTGGATCCAAGTCAGAGAGGGCAGTGGGGGCAGAACCCACCAATACTGGCCAAAGCCCAAAGCTGGAATTGTCGGGAAACGTATTGGGGTGTCATGGAACAAGGGTCAGATGGGCCTGGTGGGGACCACGGCCAGGATGGACACGGTGGCAGATGAGGACATCTCCAAGCTCTATATCTGAGTATAGATATACTCAGCTCTGTCCCTGTGTCTCTGACTCTCTGGTCTCTCCTTGTCTCCCATCTTCTGTCTCTGTTTGTGTCTGTTTCTCTTTTTCTCCCCATCTCCCAGTTGCTATCTCTGAGTACGAGTCTCCATATTTGTCACCTGTCTCTGTCTCTCTCTGTCTCTGCCTCTCACATCCCTCTCTCTGCTCTACGTTGCTCCATAACCATGACCACCTCCAGACATGGGGGTGCTCCCTGTATTAATCTGTTAGTGGTCTGTTCCCTCCAGTAGACGGTGGCCTTCATGAAGGCCAGGGTTTCCATCTGTATTATTTTCTCCTAGACCTCCTGTGCCTGGGATACTGCCTGGTTCAATAAATAGATGTTGAATGAAAATGAGTGAATCATCATTCTCATCAGCATTATTATTTGATGATAACTGTATTTGCTATTGCTATAGCTGCTCTTTAGTAAGTACAAACTATATACAAGGAGCTGAGCTAAGCTGCTGCTTGTTTAAACCTTACAAAGCCTCCTGGGAGGTAAATACCATTATCATGTTCATCTTTCAGATGAGGAAACTGAGGAGTAGTGACTTGCCCAGTGTGAGTCCAGGCCTTGTCCAGGGGGTTTGGGCCTCGTGGTTAAGATATGCTCCGATTCTAGGTTGTAATCTCAGCTCTGTCGCTTACCAGCGGCGAGCTTTAGAGCTGCGGAACCGCTCTGCTAACCCCGCCTGTCAAATGCGGATCCTCGCATCCGGAGCTTCCCGGTATCAGCGCCCACCTCGCAGACCCTCGCGGGGGAGGCAGTGGCGAGTGTCGCGCAGGTTAGGAGGGAGTGCCGCCCGGGCGGGCTCCTAGGTGCCCCCCACCCCGCACCCCCGGTCTGCAGGGGACCGAGGTGGAGTTTCCCTTCCCGTCCCGAGACTCCAGCGGCAGCGCGCGGTCCCCACGAGATTCCTGGGCAGCAGCGCAGGAGGCAGGAGCAGCCGGGCGGCGCAGCCAGGACCAGCGGACGCCGGGCGCGCCCGGGCCCTCGAGGAACCCCAGCATGGCTATGCCCTGGGGACCCCGGGAGCAGGTGAGTGACACACGCCTACGGGCGGCCCCCGGGCGGCCCCCGCCCCCCCACCACTCCCCACTAGCCCGGGCAGGAGCCCAAAACTGAGCGCTGCCCCCATCGCCAGCCAACTCCCCTGCGCCCCAGGGTGGAAAATCTGGGGGGTTGGGGGGCAGGCAGGTCCCTCTCTCAGCCTCCAGGAAAATGGCCTGACTTCTGCACGGATAGGGAGATTTCTGAGGAGCGAGTCATTCTCCGGGAAAGTCACAGCAGAGAATGACTCACCGCACCTCCCTGGGGCTCACCACACAGGACGTCTCCCAGCCCCCACGCCAGGGAGAGGACTGGGGGAGGCCACGTATGAGGGAGCAGCTCTGTGCCCGGCAGAGTAGGCAGTCCAGTGTGGCTATTACTCGGGAAACACGTGGACAGAAAGGTCAGTTTACCCAATTTCGTGCTCAGGGCCGCCTTGCCAAGGAGGAGACCTTACTGTCTGGTGGGGCGGACCAGCAGAGGAAACTCACTTGCTGGGAGATGCACAGCACGTCAATGGTAGGGCTGGAATCCACAAGTCCCTTGTGTCCAAATGTGCCCTCCCTCCAAAGAGCACCCTACAAACACCCCTTCCCACTGTATCCTGACTTCCTCTTTTCTATAATAACAATAACTAAACATTCACTTTTATAGAGTGCTTGGCATGTGCTAATTCCTTTACATGGATTTCATCATATAGTCTCCCCAGTGACCCTGTTAAGTTATAGCCACCCCCACTATACAGATGAGGAAACTGAGGCTCAGAGGCATGAGACTGCCAGCACAAAGGCCCACAATTAGTGAGTAGCAGGACTAAGATTCAGAGAACTTAACTCCCTCCCCACTTCTCCATTACCTTTATTATTATTGATAAGAATGTATAACACAGTGTATATTAAAATCTGGAGGACCTACTATGTCCTGAGGCCTGAGGCTGCAAGATTTTCATAGGGAGCCTGGTAGATTAGAGGTCAGGACTCTCGACTGCAGACGCCCCCTCTCCCCCAGGTTCAAAGCCCACCTCTGCCACCTACCCTTGATGTGACCTGGAGCAAATGACCCTGTGCCTCAGTTTCCCCATCTGTAAAGTGAATCTGGTAATAGTGCTTGCCTCAAGGAGCTGTTTAGGGGCTCAGTGCTGATAGATGTGTGGAGCACTCACAACAGCCCCTGATCTACATAAGCAACGTGTTATTGGTCCCACTTTTTAAACTTGGAAAAAATCAGAAAGGCCAAGTTACCTGCCTGAAGCCTCACAGCACAGATCTGAAGAGATCCAAAACCCTTCTTGTGCCAGGATCCCCTACAAACATTCTCCCAAACAGGTCCACAGAGTAATTAATAATAACAGTGGCATCTTTCATAGATTTTAAGGCCTAGAGTTTCTTCCCATTTTCACACCTCTGAACCACGCTGTAAGGGCAAGTGTGTAAATGAGTGTCACAGCGGATCTTATAATCAGCACCCAAGGCTGGGGTGATGAGAAAGGTCTCTGGTGTTGGCTGCATAATGTTGTGTAAATGTACTTAATACCACTGAATTGTGCAATTTAAAATGGTTTAAGTAGAAATTTTAATTTCTTTTTTTTTTTTTTATTGAAGGGTAGTTGACACACAGTATTACATTAGTTTCAGGTGTACAACACAGTGATTTAACATTTATATACATGATAATTCTAGGTACCAGCTATGACCATACCAAGTTGTTACAATATTTTGACTATATTCCTTATGCTATACATTACATCCCGGTTACTTATTTATTTTACAATTGGAAGTGTGTACTTTTTTTGTGTGTGTGTGAGGGCATCTCTCACATTTATTGATCAAATGGTTGTTAACCACAATAAAATTCTGTATAGGGGGGTCAATGCTCAATGCACAATCATTAATCCACCCCAAGCCTAATTTTCGCCAGTCTCCAATCTTCTGAAGCATAACGAACGAAATTTTAATTTCTTAAGCACAGTATTTACCACAATTTAAAAAATCAATGATGCTGAGATGCCGGAAATACGGTTACAAGAGAGAAAAAACCCGTAACAGTAATAGCCCAGTGAAGCAGGTGTGGCCTGGTTGCGGACCCAGACCAGCCCCCCTCACCCCACCCCGCCCCTGCCCCGTCCAGGCTCGTTCACGCACACATGCTCTCCCAAGGGTCCCCAGCCCTGGGTGGGCCGCCTCCCCGGCGCTCTCCACGTCCAGACCCGGGACGCCGGGGTCTGACCCGCCCCCCACTCCCCGCAGGGACCGGGATGGTGGGTGTGCTGGCGCCCTCCCAGGTGCGCGGCTTCCTGGGCAACACCGTGAAGCTGCCGTGCATACCACAGCCACTGAGTGAAACGTGCAGGGGCGCAGGGGACCTGGACGCGGGCAGAGCCGGCGGGAGACCCCCGCAGCGTGGCCATCTTCCACCCCACACAGGGCGCCAGCTTCTCCGAGCCTGGCCGGTTGGAGTTCGAGGCCACCAGTCTTGGCCAGGAGCTGCTGGACGCATGGCTGGTCGTGCGGAGGCTGCGCGGGGAGGACCAGGCCAACTACACCTGCCAGTCTACCACATTGCGCAGGGCGGCAGGAGGGACGGGACCTGGCCCCGCGTGCTCGGCACGCGGGAGGGGAGCAGAGGAGGGAGGGCCGTGGATGGCGGCGCGAGTACCTCCAGAGAAGGATTGTGGGGACAAAAGAAGGAGGTAGGACAGTGACTGGGAGGGGCGAGGTGCAGGGGAGGAAGTTGGGGGGTCATTGAGGAGAGATCTTGCAGAGTAAGGTAAAAACTTGGAGGCTGAGGGTGGGACTTGGGTGGGGGTGGAGGGACACCAGGATTGGGAATCCTCCTTTCCTGATCTGTAAAATAGGGTTAGTAGCAATAGTGCTGCCCTCCGAAAATTGTCCTGAGGGTCCCCGGAGTTTATTCAGGTGCATTGCTTAGAAAAGAGGCCCCGCGAGCCCTTGAGCCCTGTCGCTTGTTGTTACCCTGGTGAGGAAGGAGAGCTGAAGCAGACAGACTGGAAAGACAGGGCCCTGGTGCCGGGAGAGGAGCACCTCCCCGGGGAGCCCACACACCCCAGGGCACATCGTGGGATCAGGGAGAGTATGACAGGCTACTCCTCTTGCAAACTGAGTAAGAAATCTCTGTGCCTCAGTTTCCCCATCTGTGAAATGGAGATCACTACAAGGATTAGTAAGAGCTGACATTTAGTTTTCATTTATGTTCTGGGACCTAGCCCAGACCTTTCATGAGTGGCTCTTGAAAGGTTAAGTGCTTGGGACAGTGCCTGGCAGATGGCAACCGGCCAAAGGCAGTTCTTGGCATTTCAGCAAACCTGGGGCTTCTGGTCTTGCAGTTTAGGATGAGGGTAAAACAGAACCAGTGAGTCATACTCAGGAGAAATCTTCAGGATCTAATAATGCACGTAATGATGGGGAAGGAGCTGAGTAAAGCCCAGGCTTGGGAATCACCGGAATGATGATTAGAGATGGTCAGAATGGAGTTAGACATTGTGTGAAAGCCCAGCCCCCTCGCTTACAACTGTGAACCTTGAGCCAGTCACTTCCCCTCTCAACCTCCAGGGCTTGGCTCGGCCCTCCTCTCCGCCACCAAGCCCTCCCTAACGCCCCATCCCCTCAAGCCCCTGACTCAGACCCCTTCTGTGTTCCCCCTCCCAGCCTTGCCCACCCCAGGCCCTCACTGCCAAGGCAGGGCTGGGGCTGGCTCCATCGCTGCTGGGTCCCCAACCTTGCCCTTCACAGAATCAAGCAATGTATTCAATTACCAATAATAATACTACTCAGTGAGCACTTATTCTGTGCCAAGTACCGTGTTAAGAGCTTTACCTGCATATCTCATTGCCTGTGACCCATCATTATCCCCAGTTGACAGACAGGGAAACTGAGGCACAGACTTGCTTAAGACCATCCAACTGCTCATGGACAGGTCTGGGATCTGAACTTGGCCATCCTGTACCCTCAGTTAGCCCCCCTCCTCTGCTACTGAGATGTTTGTTGAATGACTTCAGGCAGGAGTCACCCACTCCCTTTTCTCCTCTTGCCAGCTCTGCCTGGAGCCTGTGCCTGAAGCCCGCTGCATGTCCAGCAGGGGGCGCCCGCCTGCCCAGATCCCCTGGTCCTCCCACCTGGGTGGAAAGGCCAACAACAGCCAGGAGCTGGGGCTCCTTGCCTGGCTTGCGTGCCATTATCAGCGGCTTCACCTTAACTCCCCCAAGCCCGGCAGATGGTGAGAGCGCCACCTGCAGGATGGACCAGGAGAGCTTGGAGGCCCCAGCCCCGCTGCCCTGGATTCTCAACATGACCTGTGAGTGTGCCCACGGGTGAGCAAGGGGGACAAGCACTGCCAGCCTGCCTGCGCACCACCACTGTCCCCATCAGCTCCCCGGGCCTCAAACAACACTGCCTTTCATTACTTCTACTGTCTTCCGAGACCTCAGTGAACACTGCTCCCCAGGCGGCCTACCCAGCCCAGCTCCCCTGGCCACTGTCTACACTGACACTCCACACTGTCTACACTGGTTCCCTTGAGCAGTCTACAGACACTGCCTACACCTGCTTCCCCAGGCAACTATCTAGACGCACCTTGCCCACATTGCTACACTGCTTCCCCCACTGTCTACACCACCTCCCTTGTCCATTTTCTACACTGCGTTACCATTGTCTATACTGGCTCCTTGTCTACATGGAGACATTGTCATTTAGGCCGCCGGCTGTTCCCGTGTTGCCTAGACTGGCTCCTGTGGCCACCATCTCGACACTGTACATTTTCTACCCTGGTTCTCCTAGGCACTCTGTCACACCGACCCACGACACTGTCTACATTTCCCCCAGTGTAGTCTATGTTCCCTTCTAATGCAAGACTGTCTACACTGGCTTGTCGAGGGGCTGTGTCGTCCCGTTATTGTCTATATTGAATATTCCCTCCCAGGTACTACACTTTGAGTGGCCATGTGCCAGGAGGTCTTCTGGGGGAACTGGGAGGGGCTCTCACGGGCTGTCACTGTGTAGGACAGAACCAGAGGCATGGAAGCAAGACCCTGAATCAAGAGGGCCACAAGGACACGAGTCCCCAGAATTCTCAGACTGTGGGGGAGTGCTCACCTAATTTTTCTCTCTCTTTAATTTCCTTAACTAGGTAATACATAAACATCCCCAAATCAAAAGTTATAAAAAAAAATCAGAAGTCCACTTTGAGTTCATTTGAGCACAGGGCATAAGGTAAGGGTCCAGCTCCATTCTTTTGCAAGTGGATATCCAGTTTTGTACAATATTGTGAATGTAACACCATAAAATAATAAATTTAAACATGACTGAAAAAACATTATGTTTTCCCACAAATTTTGAAAGTTAATAAGGTAATATACCAAAAACTGTTGAATTATACATTTTGGGTGGGAGAAACTGTATTTCCACAAACGTAGTGACTTGAAAAACACACAATTATTCTGTCACAGTTCTGGAGGTCAGAAGCCTGAAACGGGTCTCACTGGGCTAAAATCAAGGTGTCGGCAGGACTGGTTCCCTCCGGAGGCTCAGGGGAGAGTCCCTTGGCTTGCCCTCTGCAGCTTCCAGAGGCCACCCACGTCCTTTGGCATATGGCCTCCCATCACGTGGCCTTTCTCTCTCTGCTCCCGCTGTCACATCACCTTCTTCCTCCTGCGACCTTCCTGCCTCCCTCTTTGCCTTCTAAGGATGCCTGTGATTACACTGGAGAAGCCAGGCTCATTCTCCATCTCCAGGTCCTTAGCTTAATCACATCTGCAGAGTCCCTTTTGCCATGGAAGGCACCATATTCGCAGGTTCCAGGAATCATGATGTGTGCATCTTAAGTGATCCATTATTGTGTCTACAGCCCCCACCACAGAGAGCCACAGCACCATTTTTGGGCAAGTTTATTTATGCACAAACAACAAGTAGATATTAATTTTTCCACAATAGGTAACGTCTCACACACAGTTCTGCACCTTGCTTCTGTTACTAAAGGTGTCTGGAAATTAAGCGTCTCTTTAGTCTTCACATCCTTGTAGTACTGCAGAGTGGGATGGCTGGTACTTTTTCAACCAGGCCCCTATGGACTGACATCTGTGCTGTTTCTGCCCTTTTACCATTAGAGTGGTAGTGAAGTGGTCTTGTACACTGTCAGCTCACTCACGTTGACGCATGGGTGTAGAACACACCTCTGGAGGTGGAATTGATGGGTTGCAGTGTATGTGTGTCCCTGTCATGGTGATAGATGGGGACAAACAGTCCTGCAGAGAAGTCCCGTTGATCTCTGTTTCCACCAGCAATAGATGTGATGGCCTGTTTGGGGGGAAGTACCTGTGGATTCCACAGAACCAGGCATCAAGAGTGGACCCAGAATGTTGGCATGAGTGTTTGTAAACTTCACCAGATATAGAAAGCCATGATTATCCACATTGGACAATGGGGATGGAGGGGTTTGATGGAGATCATGGAGAGGCTGAAACAGCCTAAACCTTCCTGGGGCTCCTACACAGAGTGAGGGGAGCTTCAAGCCAATGTTACCTCACTTTAAGGAGCTCTGAGGTCCTGGAAACTCTGAGTTGCAGATTTTGGGGGCTGAGGAAGCCTGTGCTGCTGAAATCTAACTTAGTAAAAAGCCAAGTGACCCAGGACTTCCACTCCCAGCTGTAGACCCCAAAGAATTGATCACCAGGACTCAAACAAATACTTGCAATTGAATGTCGGAACAGCACGGTAGCCAAACAGTGGACACAACCCAAATATCCACCAACACATGAATGGATTTTAAAATATGTGGTGTATCAATGCAGTGGAATGTTACTCAGCGATAAAAAGGAATGAAGCGCTGACACGGGCTACCACATGGACGAACCTTGGAAACATCACGCCGACTGAAAGGTCACAGATTGTATGATTGCATTTATATGAAATCTCCAGAATAGGCAAATCCATAGAAACAGAAAAGAAATTAGTGGTGGGCCAGGGCCTGGAGGAAGGGAACAATGGAGCATGACTGCTTAATAAGTTCAAAGTTGCCTTTTGGTGTGATAAAAATGTTCTGGAAAGAAATAGTGGTGATGAGAGCCCAATACTGTGAATGTACTAAATGCCACTGAATCATACATTTTGAAGTGGTTAAAATGGTAGGTGTTATGTGTGTTTTACCACAACAAAAAATTTATAATTTTTATTGAAAACATTTGTTTTCATTTCCTGGCTGTTAGAGGCACAATTTTGGAGAACCAAATTCATGAAGTGAAGAATGGGTGAATTTTAAAGAAAAAAATAACACCCTAACTGGTAAAGAAAATAATTATTCAATGACACCTGTTAAAGCATGACAAAGCAGACTTTACTCAAGGAAAGGGGGCCATCCAGTGAGTGGAGGGGCCACTGCCTGGGACCTTGCAGCAGCAGAGAGAGATTGGACTCCACTCCAAAGGGTTCATGGGAAGGTAGGAGTTTATAGCCAAGGATCAGGGAGGTCAGTGGATGGAAAATTACTGAGATAATCCTCAGGGGAGAGGAAGGAGTCTAACTGACCGAAGAGGATTCTTGCTAGAGACAGGCCAGGGTGACCAGACAGCACCTGTGGCATAGCAGAGAATGAGAAACCTGATCATATACCCAAGGGTGATCAGATGTCAAGAGTGGCAGCTGTCATTAAACTGACTACAGAGGATTCTTGCTAAAATTTGACAATGCAAAGATGAACACAGAAATTCAAAAGTCAGGCCTAGTTAGAAAAGAGTTCAGGGGAGCCTGACAGAGTTCAGTGAGAGAATCTTTGTCAGTATATAAAAATGTGATGGTGAGGATGCTTTAGATGACATAAAGCATGGTATGGTTTTTCAAAAGCATCCCTCCATTCATTCATTCATTCATTCATCCCAACACACACTTCCTATGCTCAGCTCTGCACTGGATGAGGCTGGGGACACAGTGATGCCACCCCCCACCCTCCACTCTCCAGTCTGGCATTAAGAACAAGAAACTGGATTGTCTGGTTCTATTCCAGGCACTGGGTGTGGAGCTCAGCTGTGTTTCTCTGCTGTTCGTTCTGTTTTCCTCCACATGTTGGCATCATCCTCAGGCTGGTGCCAAGATGGCTGCTGCATTCCAGGCATCGCAGCCAACTCTGGACCTGGAAAAGGAAACCACACCCTCCTGTGTGAACTTCTCAGCAGCCTCCCCTCAGGTCTCATTGGCCAGTACCATCCAGCACTCAACCAATCCCTGGCTGAAAGAATGGGACTGCCTTGGACCAATCAGGACCTGTCCTGTGGGACTGGGGAGAAGCCCGGATGAAGGCTGCAGGACAGAGGATGGAACCTGGGACCTCAGGAATTAGCAGTGACTCTCTCTGGGTCGGAACTTTACTCTTTTTTTGAAGTCTGTATTGTCTAAATGTTCTGTAATAAACCTCGACTTGTCTTTTAATAATGCAAAAGGAATCAAAGTCATTATTTGAGAGAGAATCTTCAGTAACTGGAAAATCCAGAAGAACTGGCTTTGTCTCCTGAGCTGCCCGGTGCTGCTTACAGACAGAGCCTTTGCTCCTGGAGTTTAACAGTGAAAATATATCAGAATCCTCTGATCCCATAAACTCCACTACTGCTGCACACCCAAATTCCTACCAGAATGAAGCAGGTTTAGGCAACTGTTGGGGCCCTAAGCTTGGGTGTCTCTCCCCTGGGCAGCTACACCTGGAAATAATGGCAGGGTTTACAAAGACCTCTTTCAGGCAGTCAGAAGAAATCTCAAAACTGCAACAAGCAGAGCTGTGGGTAAAATCTTGGAGGGCTTGTGACCCTGTGAACACCACTGCACAAGCTTCCAGGCATTAGGGACCTGGGAGGTGGGGCACAGAAATGCCTCCAGGGAAAATGCACTTCCCTTGGGATCTGGGGGTTGTGAGAGGAGGGGAACCAACTCAAGAGGCAGGGCAGGTCCGAAGGCAAGGTCAGTAACAACAGCAGCCCCAGGCATCTGCTGCCTGCTTGCTGGGACCTCCTTCGCACAGTGCCTCTTTACTCCTCCCAGCAGCCCCGGGAGCTGGGGATGCTTGTCCCCATTCTCCGGTGGAGGAAGCTCCAAGAGGTGGAGTCATGTGCAACCAAGATCCATAACCAGGTGGTGGCAGAGCTGGGCTGAGAAGCAGGCTTACCAACTCACCACAGGGCTGTGCTGGAGTCTGGGGGTTCAGCCCTGCCCAGGCCACGCCGCCCCACCCCGAGGTGTTTCAAAGGCGGGGTTTCTCTGTCACCCTAACCTGAGGACTTTCGGGATGCCGTCACCTCCGACCATCTATCACACACACACACACACACAAACTGCTACTGATGTACAGAACCCCAAATTAGGGTTCTCTCTTCCTGCGGCTCAGAAATCTCACCTGGCACTGCCCGGTCAGCTCCCTGGGCTAGCTGTCCAGTAGAATCATCTGTGATGGTGAGGGACATGTGTTGTATCTGCGCTGTCAAATATGAGAGTCACTAGCCACATGGGGTGGTTGAGCAATTGAAAGTGGCCAGTTTGAGGAACTAAAATTTTCGAGTCATTAAATTTTAATTAATTTAAATTTATATTTCAATAGCCCTCCTTGCTGAGTGAGGCATCCACCTAGGCCCTCCAGCCCCCTGTGCTCCTCCGTCCCAATGCTGACCACTCTGAATCATCATTGTCTGGGGAGGGGGGGTGTCTCACACACACACAGAGAACTGTGAGCCCCACTATGGGCTGAGAGCAAGGCAGGAGTTGTCGCAGTCATCACTGTGTCCCTAGCCCCACCCAGCACAGAGTTGAGCATAGGGAGTGTGTGTTGGGATGGATGAACGAATGAATGAATGAATGAATGGAGGGATGCTTTTGAAAAATGATACCAAGAGCTTTAGAGTGAGCCAACCACAGGTCAAATCCCAACTCCACCTACTGGTAGACTTGCCTCCTTCTTTGAGCCTCAGTTTCCTCATCTGCGCAATTGGAACAGTTATGCATGATGCATGTTGAATGAGGCAGTGTGTGTTGGGCTGGCCTGCAGGGACCTGCCAGGCCTGGGGTCGTTGCTCAACCATCATGACTGCTGCCACAGTTACACTGTTGTTATGACAGATGCACTGGGCGGGAAGAAGACATGGAAGGGGGTCAGAGGAGGAGTCCAGGGAAGCCCCAGGAAGTTCCCAGTCACCCTGGAAAACTGGTTCAACCAGTGTCTGCCATCCATCCCAGGGAGCACAGGTGAAGCCTCTGGAGCCTGTGGGAAAGGGGTGCTGGGGCTCAGCGGCCTCAGCCATGTCTCAGAGGCACCCCCAGGATCCCCACTGAGTTGGCCCACTTCAGACAGCCAGGGCCCAGCCCTCCAGCCCCCTCGGTGTCCAGCAGGTGGCCCCCGGGCATCTCCACAGGACAACAAGATGCCGGTTACCAAGGGGACCCAGTGCCACTTCTCAAAGGGCCTCCTGCTCTCAGGTAAGCAGGAAAGTACCCCTGGGGCTGAGGGGGGCAAGGTGGGACCTAGTCCAGGGACTGAGGTTTCCTCTTGGAAGAGGGAAAGATTGTCAGGAAAGATGAAATTATTAGAATAAGATGGGAGGGTGAGCAGCAGACTCACAACCCCACCCCCATTTTATCTATGAAATTTTCTAGAATGTTAAGGTCAAAAGGGCAAGAATTTATTTGCTTTTGATTCTTCACTGTATCCCCATTACCTAGAAATCTAAGGAATTTTAGGTGTATCATTTACAATTGGTATGGTAGAATAAATAATATATACACCTTTAAGTATTAGTTAGATGAATGACAGGAAGAATTCAGAGAGTTCAGGTGTTTAGAGGCAGACCACACAGCGTCTCAGGACAGAAAAGTCTTCTGGCAAATCTGTGGCATCATGTCTGTGTTCCCATGCCTGCACCCAAGGCAGGCATTGCTAATCAATCCCAGCACTGTTTCCAATGAACAACACTCAGAGTCCTTGCCCCAAGATGAGGACCTATAGGAAAAATAATGCTATGTTCCCTGCCCAACACCTCTGATCTCAGGCCTCCCTATAACTCCCCACAGCCTCAGTCCTGGCCCTCTGGGTCCCCCAAGGCTCCTGGGCTGCACTCCACATCCAGAAGATTCCAGAGCAGCCTCAAAAGAACCAGGACCTTCTCCTGTCTGTCCAGGGCATCCCAGATACCTTCCAGGACTTCAACTGGTACCTGGGGGAGGAGACCTATGGCGGCACAATGCTGTTAACCTACATCCCTGGGCTACCACGGCCACAGAGGGATGGCAGTGCCATGGAGCAGCGAGACATCGTCGGCTTCCCCAATGGCTCCATGCTGCTGCGTCATGCCCAGCCCTCTGACAGTGGTACCTACCAGGTAGCTGTCACCATCAACCCCTCCTGGACCATGAGGGCCAAGACTGAGGTCCAGGTGGCTGGTGAGTGTTGAGGGAGAAAGTGGGTGGGGGTAGCTGATGCATCCTGAGTAGCTACCACATGCCAGGCCCTGTGCAAATACCACTCTATTTGGTCCTCTCATTCATTCATTCAACACACATTGATTAAGCACTTACTGTGTGCCAGGCCCTGGCAATACCATTTTATCCTCACATGCATTAACTAATAAATATCTATTGAATGCCTACCTTTTTCTAGACACAGAGCCAGACCTTGGAGAATGCACCATTTACTCCTCACATGCATTAATTAGTGAAATATTTACTGAGCACCTACTGTATGCCTGGTCCTGAGTTAAGTGGATCTTCATCCGTGAGTTAAGTGTTTATTGGTGAACTCACTCTGGGCAAACACTAATGATAAGGTGATGGACAGTGGCGACAGCTAACATTTCTTGGGCACTCGTGATGGGCCAGGTACTTGCCCTAGAGCGTAGCTTCTCAACCTGAGCACTGTTGACATTTTGGACTGCCTGACTCTTGGTAGCGGGGGGCTGTTCTGTGTGCTGTGGGGGTATATTACAACAGTCCTGGCTTCTACCCACTAGATGCCAGAGACCAAAAAACGTCTGCAGACATTGCCAAATGTCAACCCTGGTCAAGAACCACTGCCCTAAATTAACTCATCTGTATCTAAAAAAAAAAAAACTCCACAAAATGTTATATGTCAATTATATTTCAATAAAGTTGGAGAGGACAATAACTTCTCAACCTTTCTAGGCAGACCTGTCACTCATCAACTATGTCCCTATAGGCCTTGGCTCATCCATTTACCTTTGTGATTTCCATAATGTGTTCTAACTGATCAGTTTACAGACCCGTGTCACTAGAATAGTAAATCTCCAAAGGGAGAGGAAATAGAACATATTCATCCTTTTTACATCCAATGTCTACCACAACGTGTGGGACATAATAGGTTCTTGGTCAATGTTTGTTAAATAAGTAAATAAATGAATGAAAACTTTCAAACACAAAAACTCCATTAGGCAAGCACCATTATTGTCTCCAGTTTAAAGATGGAAAAACTGAGTCCCAGAAAGTGGCAAAGCTGGGATTTAAGCCCATAAAGTCATAATGCCAAAATCTGGGAGTTTAACCGCCTGCTCTCAAAGCAGAGAAAGAGAAAAAAAAAATCTCCCTATCTTCATTCAAATGTGGGATTCTGTAAATGTAAATAATAAATTACGATCATATTTCAGATGGAATTGTTAACAAGAACAGTGATAGCTAACATTATTAAGTGCTTATCACATGCTAGCTTTACATATATAGTAACTCATTTAATCCTCACTGAAGCCCTGTGAAGTGCATAATATTATTAGACCCATTTTACAGATGAGGCAATTGAGGAACAGAGAGGTTATGACTTGCCCAGTAAAAAAAAAAGAAAGAAAGAAACAGGATGATGTGATCTGGGATGAGAGGTCATCAAGGAGGCCTTGCTGAAAAATGACATTTGAGCAGGGGGAAGACAGCCATGCTGATTTCTGAGGGACCCTGCAGAGTTCCTTGCAGAGGGAAAGCAAGTGCAAAGGCCCTGGGGATAGACTAGCTTGGTGTGCTCAAAGCACATAGACAGAAGGACGCCACGGCTGTAAGGCAGTGAGCGAGCTGGGTCTTGGGCGGCAAGGTCTGAGAGGCGCACAGGGGCCAGCCTCCAGGGCATGGAGAGATTGACGAGGGGCCACTAAAGGGTTTTTAACAGGGGAATGGGCTGATTCACAGTCTAACCCACCCGCAGGGCACAGTGTGGGCTGAATGTCCTTTTTGTCCAGGAGGAAACCTAGGCTAAGGCAGTTTAAGGTACAACCCAAATATGAGGCAGCTAATTGTCAAATCAATGGCAGAGTCGGGATTCCCATGCAGGGCCGTCTGGATCAGACACAAAGTCGCCTCTGCAGACGCCAAACCGCTCATCCACTTGTTCCTTCACAAATGCTCCGTCTGCGTCCCGCCTGAACTGACCAGTGCTGGGGACCAAGGCAGCCCTGGCCCTGCCCTCCTGGGTTCACAACCCAGTGGGGGAGACAGATATTAACGAATAAGCACACACCCACAAATGGATCGTTATGAACAGTGCAGGGAATGAAGGCAAGTGCGGGAATCATGAGATCATAAGTTGGGGTAGCAGAGAGGTTGCCTCAAAAGGGAATCCTTCAACAAAGCTTGATGACCAGCAGCTCTAAGTAGAAGGGAAAGGAGCTTTGTGAGGTGTGCAGGCAGAGAACTTCATTTGTGCAAAGGGCCTGTGGCAGGAAGCTTTAGGGCTTCTAACCTGAGCTGGCAGGAGGCCAGCATGACTGAGGCAGGAGACCAAGGGGGCAGCCTAGGAGGCCAGTGCTGCCAGATGTATTTGAGCCAGGGCTCAGGTTGTAAAGACAGAAGCTCTTTCCAACCGTCTCAGAGTTGGGGGGACTTTGTGGAAACCAGGGGCAGCTCCTGTGATGTCGGCTCTAGGAGGCCTGGGCTCACAGCTGCCTCCTTGGAACCTAGAACAGGGCCAGGAACACTGTTGAATGAATGAATGAGCGGGGAGCCCCCAAGGCAGCTGTCAGGGCAGCAAGGTGGTCCCTCCCCCTCCCGGTTGTGCAGCCTCTGGTCTCAACTCTGCTCACTGGCTCCACTCTCCTTTCCGTGGGCTGGGATTCCCACTACCACACTAAACAGGGTGCCCACCCAGGCTTCTTTGCGTATTCTGAGTCTCCTCTTCCGAAATGCAGAGGCAGAAAGAGAGCTGGAAAGAGAGACAGGCAGACAGAGAGACAGAATCTGTCTGGTCCAGCCTGGCCTTTGGTCCTCTTCCTCTTGACTCAGGTGTCCACCTCTTGTCCAAGCGGTGGAATCAAATAGAACCAACGAGATGGGGGGCTGGGCTGGGGCCTGGGGATCCAGGCTGGGGGGATGGGGAAGACTCAACACTGCCTTCCAAGAAATAATCATGATGCCTATTTGCTGCCATTTGTTCACCATTAATTCCCTAGTGCTTAGAGCGGTGCTTAGCACACATTAGGCACTCAATAAACACTTGTAACGCCATCTCCCATTCACGGAACACTTACTGCATACCACACACCTCCAAGTCAGGCACTTTGCCAACCTCACCTTACGTCATGCCACAAGAACCCTGTCAAGTGGGCCCTGGGATGACCCCCGCTTTAGAGCAGGGCAAACTGAGCCCCAGAGAGGGTGCAACACCACACTGCTGGGAAGTGGGGAGCCGAGGCCCCAGCTGGGCCCGGGTCCATGTCCTTGGCCCTCTGCCACCTGGCTCTTTCTCAGACCCACAGGGATTCCCCATGAAGCACCGAGGGGCCCCCTGGGGAGCAGTCAGGGGAATGGGGAGCTGCCTGGGCTCCTGGCGAGCTGAGCTCAGGGAACAGGGAAGGGAGGCAGTTCAGTCCAATGGACAAGGAGGAGCAAAGGAGAAGGTGGAGGGGACCAGGGGTAGGCCTGGGGGTGTCTTCACATGAGGCCAGGTCTCCAGGGTAGCCAGGGCATTTATACTGGAGGGCAGTTGGGGCCCCAAATACGGAACCCCACCTAGGTGGGGGATGGAAGTGGCTGGGAGTACTTCCTGAGGCCTGGGTAACCCACATGCTTTATTTCTCAGTCATGAGAGGATCTGGTGTGTCTGTAGTAGCCGTAACAGTAGCCAACCCCACCTGGCACAGGCAGAAAGGGGTTTTAATAAAGGGGATTGCATGCTCACGGTGCCTCCAGGAGGCGGGGCACTGGGAATGAGGTATAAATTACATGTGGAACTGTTCCTGCCTGAGAAAACGGTCAGCCCTGGGACCAGAAGCCCCGCCCGGGGGAGCACCAGAAAGTTACATTCAACTATTCATTCATTCAGTGAACATCTGTTGAGCCCCTGCTGTGTGCCAGGCACTGTGTTCACAGAAGGAATGGGGCACAGCTCTCTGTCCTTACGGAGTTCATACACTGTCGGGTGTGCCAGTCACGTCCTCACCACCAAAGGCCCAGCATGGCACCTGCACCTCTGTGTCTCTGGCTCCCAAAGCGAAGGCTCAAAGGTCAGCTTTGCGTAAATGGATAAATCTGACTCATGGAAGAAGGCCCAGGTGATTCGGTTAGCAGACCTGAGCACAGAGGTTCCCAGGGACCAGTGCGGAGAAAAGCCAAAAAGAAAATTTTCAGTCCTGGAAGGAGAAACAGTTCTGTTCTTGTCACTTCTTGCTGCAGAATGAACTTGGTGTTATAAAACGACGACCATTTTATTATGTGCACAATTTCTGAGCCCAGGAATTTAGACAGGGCACAGCAGGATGGCTTGTCTGCATTCAGAAGCCACACAGAATAGTCATTAGGAGTTCAGAGGCCCAGGTGTGATCCCAGCACTGCTCTGACTGTGAGCTCCCAGGCAGTTCACTTCTCTGTGCCTCAGTTTCCTCATCTGTAAAATGGCATAGAATCTACTTTGTTGGATAGAAAGTGTGTGGTGTGTGGTGTGTGTGTGTGTGTGTGTGTGTGTGTGTGTGTGTGTGTGTGTGTAAACTCATTCACTCTTCACAACAACCCCATGAGGTAGGTATTCTTATTATCCCCGTTTCACAGATGGGAAAACTGAGAGGCACAGAAAAGCTACCCAGGGTCATACAGCCAGGAGGCAGCAGGAACTTGAACCCTAACATTCTGGTCTCAGAGTCCACAAGCTTAGCTGCCAAGAAGGGCTGGGACGGAACAGGTGTCCCACTTGAGATTAAAGGCTGGAGGGCCTCACGGTGGGAGCCAGATGTCAGGTAGGCTTCATCCCCGATCTGGCATGGCGAGTTTGAAAACCCTGCTAGTGGAGTTCCCTGTGTCCCCCACAAAACAGCCCAGAGCCTCATCCTTCCACTAGAAGGATCGAAGTGTCATTAATGGAGGCGAGAGAAAGCAGATTAGTGGGGAGGGGACAGGGAGTGGGTCTGCAGGTGGGTCTGGGCTGTGCTGAGGCTGCTAGGATATCCTAGGGAAGCAGAGATTTGGGGTCAGGAGGGCAGTGAAGGAGTTCCATCAGGGATGCAGGGAGTTTTATCTGCAGCCAAATCCACCAGACCACTGATACTTGGATCTGCAACGCAAGGGAAACTCTGGGCTGGGAAGGTGAAATCGCACGCCTGGGCTCTGTGGATAGTCACAGATGGGGGAACATGGAGGGGGCCCTCCCAAGGTGCCACACAGTCCTCTCTCTCTCATACTCTTCAGAAAAGCATAAGGAGCCCCCTGTGACGCACCTGCCCATGAGCACTGCGATTGTGGCTGCCATCATCACTGGGCCCCTTGTCGCCGGGTCCCTCCTCGTGGGCAGCATTGCCTATCTCCTGGTGACAAAATGCTGGAAGCGCCAGAGGCACAGGTACAGGGGCCCCGGGCCTCTCTCCCCTCCCCTTCTGTCTCCTCCCCAGCCCCACTCAGGTCCCACTGACTGATTCTTTCACAAGTCACATGACCAGACTCATACACCATCCCATCAAATCTGGGAACTCCTGCAGTGGAAGAGTCTTCCTATCCTGTATCAGACAGAACCTGCATTGCAAAGGACAGAAACCTTACCCTTGAACTACCTCACAAAAAAAAAACAACAAGGTTTTTTCCTGCAGGAGCTGCAGGTATGGCTGGATCCAGGGACTGCCTCCCATTGGATCAACTCAAATCACACGTTTTCGCCTGGGCCAGTCACTGTGGCCAGGTGTTGGAATGTTCTGATTGGCTAAACTTGGGTATTGGTGCAGCCCTGAAACTGGAAATAGACCCAGATCCACATGACCAAATGGATTGAGAGTAGGGAGGGATTTCCCAAAGGAAAATCAGAAGCTATTGCCAAAGAATGAGAGTGGATGAGAGGAAGCCAAAGTGATCAGACAGTGCCTACCTCCGTATTGAGGAAAAGAGAGAGGTGGGGGCCTGTTTCCCCAGGGAAATATTCCTATATGTGAAAATTCCTTCCTCATGAGATCAGCCTTTTCAGAACTTTCTCTCCCGACCTTGGCTCTGAGCTCACTGTAGAGAAGATGTCTTAATTTTTTTGCCTCTCTGTGATCCCCAGAAAATGAAGTTAGCAATCCTAACTCCTCCCTCTACTGTTCCTTATGTGCCATGGTTTCTGGACCTTCATCATTCTACTTGTTTTTCTCCTAATATATTCTAATTTGGGGGTGGCAGTCTAAGCCAGGTCAGTAAATTAGTCAATACTATTTGTTAAGGGCCTACTATGTGCCAAGCATTTGAAGGAAAAGGAGTTGAGGTCACTCCAAATTCAGTGGGAAAGGATGCTGTGATTGATTAATAATGTCTGCCACAGTCATGTCAAGGGTAGTGGACACACATAAGCCATCCCTGCTAGACACCTTCTTAGCTTACAGGCCATACAAAAAGAGATGATGGGGTGGATTTGGCCCTTGGGCAATAGTTTGCCACAGTCTCTAGAGAAAACCAAGGCATAGAGACATGAAGTCATCTGTCAAATGGCACAAACTGAGTGGCAATAGATTTTGTGATAGGAACCCAGATCTGAGTGATTGTAAGCTCCAGAATCAAAACTACATTCCGTGTGCCCTCACCTCTGACCAGCTTTCTTTCCACTACAGCCAGTGATTTTCAAAGAGTCTCAAGGATTCTCAAGCGCTGGCAGAGCTGAAGGCAGCTTGAGATGGCATTCTGGGCCACGATGTTAGAAAACAGAATATGGAAATATTTAAATACATGGACGTATTTAGGATAACAGGTCGCAATGCACGCAGCTTACCCTCCAACGGGTCAGGGGGAGAAAACATGCACGGGAGGAAGAGGGAAAGCAAATGCTAAAGCCGATGGAGTGAAAACAAGAGGTCAATCTGGATAAAAATTATACAGATGTTCTTTGTACCCTTTTTGCAACTTTTCTGTAACTTTGAAATATTTCCAAATAGAAAATGTTTTTTAATAGGATACTCTTAAAGGCTTTGAGTCACATGGTGAAATGAATTCCTTTCTCTCTTCTCTTTGCATCAATCTGACTGTGGCAAGCAAGCGCTTCAGTAGGGTTCCAGTCAGCCTGTAAAGCTTGTTGTGGTTGGTCAGCATTTCTAATGCCTGCTGGCTTTTACAAAAAGAAAAACTAACAACAGTATCGAGCTACAAATTTAAACCAAGGTTTGGCTTTCCTTTTCTGTCTAGTTGTAAGGAGGTTTTTTGTTTTTGTTTTTGTTTTTTCATTTACAATGTAGCAGCTTCCAACAGGTCTACTGCTTCCCACAGTCTGTTCCCTGTTCAGCAGACAGAGAACCCTGTTAAAATCAGTCAGCTTGGGTTCCTTGGAGTGAAGGCCAACATCCTTACTATGGCCACAAGACCCTGCTCAACCTGCTGCCCCCTCACCTCCCTGACCTCACCTCTGCCCCTCTCCCCTTCCCTCTGGTTAATTATTAATTTGGTTGATTAATAATGTCTGCCACACTCATATCCAGGGTAGTGGACAAACATAAGCCATCCCTGCTAGACACCTTGTCAGCTTGCAGGCAATACAAAAAGAGATGATAGGGTGGATTTGGCCCTCAGGCAATAGTTGCCCACGCCCGGGCTTTTGCACATGCTCTTCCCTCTGTTAAAACTCTCTTCCCATGATAAGCAGTCCTCTTCCCTGCCTCAGGCCTTTGCTCAAATGTCACCCTCTCGGCAAGGCTCCCTAGACCATCCTACTTGAAGCTGGACACACACTCTCCCTCCACCCTTTACCCCTTTCCATCTTCATTTTCCTGCAGCATACTTTTTACTCCCCAATATTCTAGTGTCTACTGTTTACTCAAATTTTCACTCTCTCTCCCTAGAGTGTCCGCTCCAAGAGGCCAGGGGTCTCTGTCAGTCTTGTTCCCAACTGTGTCCCCAGAGACTTCAACAGTGCCCAGGCCATGGTCAGTGTTCCATGTATATTTATTTAGTGAATTAACAAATTAGCTGTAGTGATATCAAGTGAACTTTTTAAATGACGGTATTCAAATGAACTGACTTAAAGAGAACTATGAAGGAAATCATGAAACAGGTGGATGGAGCAGAATCGCTTAGCTGGTCTTTACAAATGGTGACATCAGGGAAACATTGCTTTCCGGCATAAAGCGGCAGCTGGGGAACCTGAACAGGGCTGTGTGGCTGAGCATTACGGGAGAAGAGGCGGGATAGGGACAAGTCCCATCCTGGCCCACTGGGAGGCAAGGACCATCTCTCTCTGGAACCTGATGGGCTCTCCAGCTTCTCTGGGTCCCTGACCAGCCATCTTACTACCCTAATATTGGTTCCCTAATGTACCCCCAGGATGACGGCCACAGAGAAGCCGGAGCTGGGCCCTGGCCGTAACACTGGTAAGCAGAGGTCCCAGTCTCACTACCCGGCCCTCCCCGCAGCTCCTTCCTCCTCTCCCCCAGCCACAAGCCCCTTGCTCTCCCCCACTCGGAGCCCCCAGTTGGTTGTTCCACCCAGACCTCCCTGGGGCTCCCCAGACGCAGCCCGCACATTTCGAGTGCATCAGCACTCACCCCAAGCCTGCTCTTCTTCCTCCTCTCAGTGGCTGGCACTCCACGTCGGTGGTCACCACAGCACTCAGCCGGCCCCAGCGGCGGCTCTGGGCCACGAACAGGTACCATCTCCCGATCCCTACAGTCCACTCCTCTGCAGGATCCTGGCCTCCAGGCTGGCCTCCAGGCTGTCCCAGGACAGGATGCTTCTAAAACTCCAGTCTGCCACTGCTCTGCTCAAAGGCCCTCCGAGGCTCCCCAGTACCCTTAGGACAAATTCGGGCTCCTAAAGTGATCCCCAAAGCTCCTATAAACTAGTCCCCACTCTTTTCCTGGCTTCATCTCTCACATAACATTCCTACCCTCAAAAACAAAACAAAACTACATATATAGATAAAATCCAGACAGAGCAAGCATATCAAAGTTCCTCAAACTGTGGCAGGCCCTCCCACCGTCAGGCCTCTGCAGGTACCCTCTCCTGCCTTTGCACAGCTCTCACTTCTCTTTCCAGTCTGATACCCCTTCCTCCAGGAAGCCCTCCCTGACTCCACTCCAGGAACCCTCTGGGGTCTCCTATTCCAGCCATGCCCACTCTGGGTTATCCCTGTCAGGGGTCTGTCTCCCCCACTGGGCTGTGAGGGGAGGACCACCACTGCCTCAGTCACAGCAGTGAATGGGCCTGGGCAAGAAGAGGGGTTTGCATAAACGTTTGTTGAATGGATAAATGAATGTTGACGGCAGCCAGAGTGGGCCTGTGGGCCACCTGTTGGCTGGCTCCTCCCCTTGTCCTCTGCTTCAGGTGACAATGTCTATGAAGTGATGCCATCTCCAGTCCTCCTGGTGTCCCCTTTCAGTGACACGGAGTCCGTGAATGCTGCCGTGGTGAGCCCCCACCCCTCTTCTTTGAAGCCCACTTCTGACCTGGTACCTCCCCTCCACACAGTTTGGGAACTGTCGTTCTCTAGGGTGCTTTAAAAACTATAAGGAGAAGAGATTGGGGGGAAACAGCACAACATAAATGGTGTTTGTCTCTGGCACATGGAAGCTGCTGGGGGGGCCTTACTTTCTCCTGTCCTTCTGCATTCCCAACACTGAGCAGATATTCCCTTTATAATCAGATGGGGATGATTGATACAAATAAGAATTAGATAAGAAGATAATTAAATGAGATAAGATTAAACAAGAAGAAGAATTAAGAAAGAAGAGAAACGTGAACAGCGAAGACTAAAGCTTAGAAGCACAGGTGTTGATGGGGCAGAGGAGCGTTTTGAGGGGCTCGCCGCAGGGGCACCTCCCTGCGGCAAGGCCCTCAGCCCGATCCTCAGAGGCCCAATCCTCAGAGGGAAACACTGAGGCAAGGAGCAGGGGGCTGAATTCCCTTCACCCAGAGGTCCCCCAGTCAGGGAGCAGCAATGGGGACCTGGAATCCAGGTCTGTCCTGACAGCTACGGTCAAGGCTGGAGGGGGCTGGGCACGCAGGGCCTGGCTCACCCGTGTTCTTGCTCTGCAGCCCCCGCCGCCAGCCCCGCAGCGGCAGCCGGAGCCGGAGAACCGCCCCTACCAGGTGTGGAGCTGGGAGGCCGGAGGGGGTGTCGGGGACACCACGGAGCTGCGTGGGGCGGGGTCATGACACCCAGGCTCATAGGAGAGGCCTGAACTCCCCACCCTGCCCCCAGGGCCCCCCGGAAGGGTATGACAGCTGCGCTGGGAACCCCTGGGCATGTCCTTCCCCCCTTGGGATTGCAGCTGATTCCCAGGCTGTGAATTCGCACAGGAGGAAATGAAGCCCAGAGAGGCCACAGGCCTTGCCTGGGGTCACACAGCCCAATCGGACGGCTCCTGGGCCCAGGCCGGGCCTCAGCCCCATGCCAGCCCCTCCTGTCTGCCCCTTGGGCCTCTCCCCGGCCCCCTCGCAGAGGCAGGGTCTGTCTGTGCAGGTCTCTCTGCTGCCCTCGGGGTCAGTCTCTCTCTCTCCGTCCTTCTGTGTGTGTTGTCATTATCTTTGTTTCTCTGTCTTGCTCTCATTCTCTCCTTTCTGTGTCTCTTTCTCTCTGTCTCTCCGTGTCCGTCTCTTCTTCAGGATCTTCTGGCATCTCCGTGTCTCTGGGTGTCTCTCTTTCCATCTTCTGTTCTGTGTGTGTTTCTCTCCACGGCTCTCAGTCTCTCCTGGTTCCTTGATGTCTGCCCCCCACCCTGGTTCTCACCCTTAACAGCAGCCCCTCTCTCTCCTTCCCCTCCCCCTCTTCCCAGGAGCTGCTGAACCCCGACCCTGCCCCTTACTGCCAGCTAGTGCCAACCCCCTAAAGAGGTCCCAGCGGGAGAGGAAAGCCTCTGTGCATCCCGAAAGCCTGGTATCCACAGAAAAGCCACACCCAGGAGCAGAAGGCCACGGGGCTGTGGGGCTGACAAGGTGAAATTGGCTGGAGACAGCACGGCATCGTGGCGCCCTGCTCGAAGGACAAGAGACCGTGTCGGGCCCAGCTCCTGGTTCACCCTCCAAGTGTACAACCACCCTGAAGGCTGATCTTCCAGCAGTCTGGTCGGGGCCACACACCTGGGAAAAGCAGGCTCTCGCCCCCTGCCACCCTGAAGTCGGCCCCTCTGGATACTTGGGAGTGCGGAGGGAGGCCCGGGGCCTGTCTCCAGCCAGACCTCCCAGGCACTGGGCTGGGCTCCTCAATATCGCGTTGACTCTCAACGCCCCACCCCCACTCTGCTGGTTGCCCTTGGGCGCAAGTCAGCCCCCCACCTCACATGCCCCAGAGGACAGGCCCGTGGGAAGGAATGCTGGCCTCCCAGGCCTGTGGCCCCAAATGACGGTCCTGGCCAGTTACCGCAGCTGCTGGTAACTTAGGCAGTTCCAGGCCCTCTCAAAATTCAGTCTCTCAGAACCTGTGGCCATCTTCTGCCCACCGCCCCCTACCCCGAATCTCACCAAGGCCCCCAGGGCAGTGGTTCCCTCTCCACCCCCACCCATCCCTGGTCCCAGTCTGTTGCCCTTAATTTATTCATTCATTCAGCAATAAATAAGCCATGTGCCATACATAGTTCTAGATCCTGCGGCTTCGGCTGGGAACAAAACAGAAAAAATCTCCTGTTCTCCCAGAGGACCAGGCAGTGGACAGAGTCAGAAAAAAGAACTACCCTGGTGGGTTGGATGGTGACAAGTGCATGGGGGACATAAGAAAGGAAGGGGTTGGGAGCATTTGGGAATTGAGGTTTAAATGGGGAGGGCAGAGATCTTGGCCTGGAACGTGACAATGAGCAAAGATCTGAAGGGGAAGATGGAGGGAGCCATGTGGGGATCTGGAGGGAGAGCATTCCAGGCAGAGGGAACAAACGGCAAGTGCAAAGGTCCTGAAGTGAGGGTATGACTGGTGTGTTCAAGGAGCAGCAAGGAGGCCAGAGTGGCGGGAGCAAGGAAGGAGGGAAAAGGGTGAGATGGGAGGCCAGGAGATGGGGAGCAATGGATGGTGCTGGGTACATTAGGCACTGCAAGAGTGTGCTTTTGCCCTGGAAGCTGCACAAGGGCCACGCAGTGGGCTGAGTAATGGTCGCTCCAAGTTGTGTATGTCTTAATGCCCCATGAATGTACCTTAGAGCAGCCAAAGAGGCTTTGCAGGTGTGATTAAGGACCCTGAGATGGGGAGATGATCCTGGATTACCTGGTGGGTCCTAAGTGTCATCACAAGGGTCTTTATAAGAGGGACACAGGAGGAACAAATGAGAGCAGGCACTGTGACCACGAGGCAGAAATTGGAGTGACACACTTTGAAGATGGAAGGAGGGACGAAAAGCAGAGGCGGCACAGAGTCCATTATCGGATGTGAGGAAGATCCCGCAGGCCCTTGCTGCTGCGCAAAGGCCCCATGAGCAGAAGCCTAGAAGCCGGTTAAAGCAAGAAAACAGACTCTCATCTAGACCCTCCAAAAAGCAACACAGCCCTGCTGACACCTTGGTTCTGGCCCAGTGAGACCCATTTTGGACTTCTGAACTCCAGAACAGTAAGAGTACCTTCCTGTCATTTTTAAGCTGCTACATTTGTGGCAATTTGTTACAGCAGCAACAAGAAGTTTAAATATAGAGAATGGGGAAGAATTCACAGGAGAGGAAGTTGCATCTCCATCTGACTCAATTCAAATACTCCCTGTGAGGGATTTCCCCATCCCCAGACCCCTCAGAACACCCAGTGCCTGGGCCTCTGGTCTCCTGCTCGCTGAGATCCAAGCAGGTCAACAGCTGGGCAGGGCTCACCCAGCACTGGCTGCCAGGGTGCAGGGTGTGGGGTACGCTGTGCATCCCAGCCCCAGAAGAGAGCACACAGGCTGCCTTCCTCTCCTCTACCCGGGCAGCTGCTTGTCAAACTCCTGTATCCATTCTCTCGTCATCGTCAGTAATAGTTCTTAACCAAGCATATGACTTCTGAGCATAAAAACTACATTTCCCAGTTTCCCTGCAGTCTGATGTGACCATGTGACTGATTCCAGCCAATGGGATGTAAGCAGCGGTGAAACGTGCCATCTTCAGGTCACATAGCCTTAAAGGGACAGGATCTCGCTTCTTCTCCGTTCACCTTCTCTTAGGCTGGAGAAAGGATGAGGTGAGGACCCATCAGGGAGCAACGGACAAGGGCAGCTCAGAGCCCAGTTAGGAAGCCTGGCCCCGGCCATCAGTGTGGACAGAGCCACCAGCCACGTGAGATGGTTCCCTGAGACAGACACGTCTCTCTTGTTCAAGCTGTGGTTACTGAGGGATTCTGTTACACCCAGTTCCTCCTAAATCCTAACTGATACAACCCTTCCTCCAAGATGGCAGTGCTTTCAAGACTAAGCTCTCTGAGCCCAACTGCCTGCCTTCTAGCTGACCTGGTACCAGCTCTGTTAGGGACTGAATTGTGTGTACCCCCAAATTCACGCGTTCAAGTCCTAACCCCCAGCATGACGGTATTTGGAGACAGAACCTTAAAGAGGTACTTAAGGTTAAAAGAGGTCAGAGGGTGGGCCCTAACCCAATAGGACTGGTGTCCTTATAAGAAGAGGAAGCGACAGAGGGGTGCATGTGGCAGGAGAGAAGGCTGTGTGAGGACACAATGAGGAGACAGCTGTCTGCAAGCCAAGAAGGAGGCCTCCGGGGAAACCAGCTCTGCGAACACCTTGGTCTTGAACTCCCAGCTTCTGGAACTGTGAGAAAATAGATGTCTGTTGTTTTAGAAGCCAAGTCTGTGGCTTTTTGTTACGGCAGCCTGAGCCAATACAGGCTCCTCCTGCTACAGCGCTAGGCAATGAAGGTACTAAAGGGGTCTCCTTCCTTCACTACTACAAAAAACCTGATTTAATTATAGTGGTAATAACAGTGACTCCAGTAACTAGAGCCTGGCCTTATAGTCTTTGCATACCTGAACTTCTTGAATTCTCAGAACAGCCTTGGGAGGCTGGGACTATTATATTCCCATTTTGTAGATGGAGAAATAGAGGCTCAGAGGTGAAGTAACTGTCCCAAGGCCACACACCAAGTATATGGAAAGGTCAGTGTTACAGTTGGGATGAGACAGGTTAGGGTGAGGTAACAAACAACCCCACAATTTCCATGGCTTAAAACATCAAACGTTTACTTCTTGTCCATGCTACCTGTTCACCTCAGGTAGGCAAGTGTGCCCAGGGTCAGGGAGCTCTGCTTCACATTTCCTCAATCAGGAACCAGTTTGACGCCCAGTCACTGCTCAGGGAAAAAAGAAACACAGCAAGCATGCATTGGCTTTTAAAGGCTTCCGCAGGAAGTGACACTCCCACTTGCATTTCATTGGCCAAAGCAAGTCACATGGCACAATCTAAGGTCAAGAGGGCTCAACGGAGCTAATCCCACCATGACCATAGAATAAGGAGAACGGAAATGCTATGAACAACCTAGTTAACATACCATCGGCATTCACACCAGAGCCCCAACTCCCAAGCACTATGCTGTCCTGAGAACATTCCAGGCAAGCCTGCCCTCCTCCACCTATTCATTCAATGACTCATTCATTTAGCAGGTGGTGGACCAGGGTGGTGGGGGTGGCTGGAGAAAGAAGTGCACAGAGCTGAAAGATATTTAGAATGAAACACTGATAGAATTTGCTCCTGGATTGGATGTGGGGGATCAGGGAGAAGGGTGTGTCAACAATTTTTTCCTCGGCTCATCAAACTCTTACTGATCACCTGCGTGTGCAACTGTTCTGGGCTCTGAGGAGACAGCAGTGAACAAAGCACACAGAGAACCCTGCAACAAATGGTATCCAGTGTAATGATGCTATGAAAGAAAATGAGCAGGTGCCCAGAAAGTGAGGGTACTGGGGGAATGGGGCAGGCATCCGGTTTGCAGAAGGGAAGGCAGGGGGCAACAGTGGCCATCCCACTGCAAGAGGGCCAGGCCTACATGGAATGGAGACATATGTCCACACAAAAACTTATGCACAAAGGTTCACAGCAGCATTATTCATAATAGCCAGAAAGTGGAAACAAATTCTATCAGCAGATATACAGATAGACAGTGCAGCGGGTCCACGCAGTGGAATATTATTCAGTCATAAAAAGGAGTGAAGCGCTGACAGAGGCCATCTCGGGGATGAGCCTTGAGAACATCACGCTGAGTGAAAAAAGCCAAACACAAAAGGCCACATACTGTCCGATTCCATTTACATGAAGTGTCCAGAATAGGCAAATCCATACAGACAGAAATCAGATTAGTGTCAGGGGCTGTGGGGAATGGGAAATGGGAAGTGACTGCTAATGGGGACAGGGTTTGAGGGGGTGATAGGAAATTGTGGTGATGGTTGTACCACCATGAGCATGATAAAACATGGAACTGTGTGCTTTAAATGGATGAAACAAGTGGTATGTGAAATTATGTCTCAACAAACTGTTTTTTTAAAAGGCAGGAAAGAAGGGAGGAAGAGAGGGAGGGAGGGAGGAAGAAAGGAGTCTGGGACGACAGTCTTAAGTTCAGTAGAGCATGTTGGCAGGAGAAGGCAGCTGGAGACCCAGGTCGGGGTGTGCGGTTGGGGGAGCAGTGCAGTCCGCAGCTCGGTTGGCCTGGAAATGTCATCTGCTATCACTGGTCAGGGTGTGGGCTGTTCAGGTCCATCTGCTGACCAGATGAAAGTCAACAAGGAACCAGCAGGGGACAGCAAAGGACCGCACAGACCCACAGACAGGAGCCCTGGCTGTGTGGTGCACCCCGTCCCCCACCATGTGTGGAACCCCAGCCTCTGCACCTCTCTTTACCTTTCTGGGTGCTCAGAGAGTCCACCCACTTGTTCAAGCTGTGGTTACTGAGGGATTCTGTTACACCCAGTTCCTCCTAAATCCTAACTGATACAACCCTTCCTCCAAGATGGCAGTGCTTTCAAGACTAAGCTCTCTGAGCCCAACTGCCTGCCTTCTAGCTGACCTGGTACCAGCTCTGTTAGGGACTGAATTGTGTGTACCCCCAAATTCACGCGTTCAAGTCCTAACCCCCAGCATGACGGTATTTGGAGACAGAACCTTAAAGAGGTACTTAAGGTTAAAAGAGGTCAGAGGGTGGGCCCTAACCCAATAGGACTGGTGTCCTTATAAGAAGAGGAAGCGACAGAGGGGTGCATGTGGCAGGAGAGAAGGCTGTGTGAGGACACAATGAGGAGACAGCTGTCTGCAAGCCAAGAAGGAGGCCTCCGGGGAAACCAGCTCTGCGAACACCTTGGTCTTGAACTCCCAGCTTCTGGAACTGTGAGAAAATAGATGTCTGTTGTTTTAGAAGCCAAGTCTGTGGCTTTTTGTTACGGCAGCCTGAGCCAATACAGGCTCCTCCTGCTACAGCGCTAGGCAATGAAGGTACTAAAGGGGTCTCCTTCCTTCACTACTACAAAAAACCTGATTTAATTATAGTGGTAATAACAGTGACTCCAGTAACTAGAGCCTGGCCTTATAGTCTTTGCATACCTGAACTTCTTGAATTCTCAGAACAGCCTTGGGAGGCTGGGACTATTATATTCCCATTTTGTAGATGGAGAAATAGAGGCT